GTCGGACAGTGACCGGAAAATGGCTGGACGGTGACCGGAAATGGTCGGATGGTGGCTGGACAGTGGCCGGACAGGCAGAGCAGGACCAACCTGCTCTGATACCAAGTTAAGAGAGTAAAGAGAATGAAAAGAAGATTTCTAATTTTGTGGGATGCTTACTCCACTCTATGATCTCATATATATATAGGATTACAACATTTAAAACAACAACTACCAACTACTAACAACCACCAACCACCAACTACTAACCACTAACCACTAGCCACTAACTAATAATAATTCTAACAAAGACGTTCAATGGAGTTGTACCAAGGATAAGAAGATGTATAAAGAATTGGTGGAGAAAGATAGGATCTACAACTTGATGAAGTCCGAGGGAGAATCCTTAGAACCAAACCTCTTAACAATCCAGGAAGTATTTTCGAAAGTGAGAAGGGAGGAGAGCAGGAGGAAAGTGATGCTTGAAAAGTCAAGTGCAGTCCCACCCATTGAAGGCTCAACAATGGTAGCAAGGGGGAATCAGTCTCGTCCGTCTCAAAAGAAAAATCAGCTTTGGTATTGGGGCACACTAAGGACACCTGCTGGATCATTCATGGCAAACCTTCAGAGGCGAAATAGACAAAAATCTTGGACAGCAAAGGCAACACAACAAAGGTAAATTCTAATCCATCTCCATTCAGCAAGGAACAAATGGAAGCACTATCGAAAATTCTCCAACAAACAATTAGTGCAGCAGTAGCACAAAAAAGTAATTTCTTGCATGCTCTAAATACTAGCACAGACGAATCAAAGTCATATATCATTGATTCAGGAGCTTTAGATCACATGATTGGAGACTTAACTGTGTTTAAAAGCTATTCTCCATGCCTAAATAAATAATTACACCGTTCGGATAGTTGATGAGACTCTTTTTTAAAGTCATGAGTAAAAGGTTTAGTTATTATCTCCCAAAATATTACCTTGAAATATGTCCTTTATGTGCCTAAACTTGACTATAATTTGCTATCAATTAGCAAACTAACAAGAGATTTAAAGTGTCACTAAATTCTTCCCTAGCCTATGGGAATCTAATATTTTGGAGACGGGGGAGATGATTAATAATGCTAAAGAATGTGCTGGACTCTACTGCCTCCAAGCTGAAGCATAAGAAGTGAAACCCAAGGCCAACTCTTGTGCAATAGTACCTCAAAATAGTAAAATTTTTGTAATGTTGTGGCACTATCATCTAGGCCACCCAAATTTTATGTACTTAAAAAGAATGTTTCTCACATTATTCAATAAAAATCAGGAGTTGTTTCAATGTGAAATATGTCAATTGTCCAAACATATCCCCAGCTCCTACTTGCCTCAACCCTAAAAACCCTCTCAACCTTTCTCCCTAATTCACAACAATATATGGGGGTCATTACGGGTAAACAATGTCACTGGATCAAGATGGTTTGTCACCTTCATAGATGATCACACACGGGTCACTTGGGTGTTCCTAATGAAGGAGAAATCAGAAGTTGACAAAATATTTGAATTTTTTCATACTATGGTGGAAACACAATTTCAAAGTAGGATTAAGGTACTTAGGAGTGATAATGGTAGAGAGTATTATCACTATGCACTAAGTTTCTACCTTCAAAGACATAGAATCATACATCAGAGTTCATGTGTAGATACCCTTCAGCAAAACGGGGTCGTCGAGAGAAAGAATAAACATCACTTAGAAGTGATCAGATATCTAATGTTTGCTACAAATGTACCCAACTAAGTTTTGGGAGAAACTATCCTCTCTGCAACCTATCTCATAAACAAAATTCCTTTCCGAATCCTCAACTTTAACACCCCTTACTCTACTCTCCAAACCTCATACCTTACTAGTCGTATCCTTATATTCATTCCGTTGAAAATATTCGGATGTTCATCCTTTATCCATAACCTTCATTCTCGTCGCAACAAACTTGACCCGAAATCCGTCAAATGCATTTTCCTCATCTATTCTCCCCACCAAAAGGGGCAAAAATATTATTCACCTCAAACCAGGAAATTTTACCACACCATGGATGCCACCTTTTTTGAGGATTAGTATTATTACCCTAAAGTTGGCATTCAGGGGGGAGGGGACTTATCCAATTGAAGTGGTAGAATCCTAACTTTTGGGATTTGAGCTAGCTGAATCTGTCCCAAATGCAGAACCAATCAAGACTGTACCTGCAACATAGGAAATTGTACCAATAGAAGCTAGAGAGAGGACTGCATCTTAGCAAAATCAAGGCCTTATTACATTCTTCAGGAAGAGAAGGAAGAGAGTAGAGTCCAACACATCTCCAAGGCAAAGCCATGAATCAAACCAGGTTCCAGAAAATGAGTTTTCCCCTGGTAATATCGTTTCTAATCTTGAACCTATTGATGACATTGACATTCCCATTGCCTTAAGAAAAGAAGTGAGATCTTGCACTCAACACCCCATTGAGAATTACGTGTCCTATGAAAAATTGTCACAAGGGTATAGATCTTTTGTGGCAACTCTTGACAACATACGTATGTCAAGGAATGTTCTAGAGGCACTCCAACAACTTGAATGGGCAGTAGTTGTAATAGAAGAAGTCCAAACCTTGGTTAAAAATGGCACATGGGAAATCACCACCCTACCGAAAGGGAAGAAATCGATTGGATGCAAGTGGATATTCTCTATCAAATACAATGCTGAGGGTAGTATAAACCGGTACAAAGCCCGACTGGTGGCAAAAGTATTTACCCACTCGTATGGAGTGGACTAAAAAGACTTTTGCACCGGTGACCAAACTTAATTCTATTCGAGTCATACTATCTTTAGCTACAAATTTAGATTGATCACTTTATCAACTAGACATCAAGAATGCCTTCCTAAATATTGAACTAGAAGATTCTATATGCAAATTCCTCCGAGACTTGAATCATCAAGAACCTCAAACATGGTGTGTAGGCTCCGAAAATCTTTATATGGCCTTAAGCAATCTCCGAGAGCATGGTTTGATAGATTGACTCGGGTTGTCAAGGAAGATGGATTCAACTAATATCAATTAGATTACACTATGTTTGTCAAACACTTCATGGAAGGGAAGGTAACATTGTTCATTGTTTATGTTGATGATATTGTTATCATAGGAAACAATTATGATCAAATCAAGTATTTGAAGGGACTTTTGACCGAGGAATTTGAAGTTAAGGACTTGAGTAAACTCAAATACTTTTTAGGGATGGAAGTTGCTCGGACAAAGAATGGTATTTATGTATCACAAAGGAATTATACACTGGACTTACTTCAAGAAACCAACATGCTTGGGTGCAATGCAGCCAATACTCCCATAGAACCAGAAAAGAGAGGTGAAGAGGAAAGTCCACCAGCTGATAAAGATAGATATTAAAGACTAGTTGGGAAGTTAATCTACCTAACTCACACTAGGCCTGACATTGGGTTTGCTGTCAGTTTGACTAGTCGCTATACATCTAATCCAACTGAGGCCATCATGAAAATGGCGAACAAAATCCTTCAAAGGTACATCAGGCCGAGGGCTCTACTGACTTAGATTGGGCAACTCTGACAGGAAATAAACTACATGCTACTGTTCTTTTGTGTGGGGAAACTTGGTGACTTAGAAAAGCAAGAAGTAGCCTGCGGTGGCAAGGAGTAGTGCAAAAGCTAAATTCAAAGCTATGACTCAAGGTATCTGTGAAGGAATTTGGCTTAAGAAAATGTTGGATGAAATAAGAATTCCTATCAATTACACTATGAGGATACTATGTGACAATAAAGCTGCTATAAGCATTGCAAAGAACCCAATCCATCATGAAAGGACAAAGCATGTGGAAATTGACCAACACTTCATTAAAGAAAAAATTGACCATAGTATTATGAGTGTTGACCATGTTCCATCATGTAGACAAACAATAAATATCCTAACAAAAGTTCTTCCAAGGAATACATATGAAAACATTAGATCCAATCTCGGTATGATAAACATCTACCATCCAGATTGAGGGGGACTGTTGGAGATCAATGCATATCAATTAGAATCATTCAATTATGATTTGTACCGTCCATAATAGGATTTAATGCTAATATGATCAGTTTTATTTCTTTATTTATGTACAACATTTATAGGGAGAATATTTTCTTGATTTTCAGGGATAGATTATTGTACATGTTTATTCCTTCTTATTCTATTTATACTTCCTTTGTATTTTTCCAAAATAAGAAATACAAAACGTATTTTCCGTACTTGCCATAATTTTCTTATCTTCTTTAATATTAGTTTTTGTAAAACAAAGAATAATTTAAGTGATGAACAAGATCCATTGGCCTTTTTATGCTTGTTAGCCTAGTTAAGCTTATTAGCTTGTTTGTAGGTATTCTACCAGTTAGGCCACGTGTTTAAATCAAGCCTGGCTTTTAAACATGTCATATTTAGTCTTAAAAAGAACTCTATAATAGATAAATAGGCCAATTACGCCAAGCCAAGCCCTCATCAAGGCCTAGAGTCCTACTTGAGGTTGTGGTGTGATGCTCTGGTTGAGGACAAGATGAGGATGCCCAGGCTAAAGCTGAGCCAAGGATGACTCATCTATTATTGACCCAACAATACCCCGACTATGGGTTGAGCCAAAGAGGCACTTTGCAGATTAAATAAAAAATGAATAGGACGAAACCAACAAAAACAATTTCTTAGGATGAAGATTGATTTTGGATTTTTTTAAAATCCAATATCCAATTTATTGGATTGGGTTTAAAATCTAATAATATGGATTTAGATTTGAAACATATCCATTAAAATGGATTTAAAGTGATTTGAATCTGTGGATTGGATTTGAATATTTAGATTTCTGCACACCTTACTGCTGTATGGTACTTTTTAATGTCAAGTCTTGTATTATGCATTTGACATCAGGTTCCTTATAGTCTTAGAAATATGAAATTTTTTTTTAATTGTTTTTCTTACTTAGTGCATGGACAATTCTGACCCTGCAATGTTACTATGGCTATATTGACAATTCTTAAGAGAGGATCAGATCATGTACTTTATTTTTACTGATATCTTAAACTAACATTACTACCAATTGGTAAGGTAATTGATGTATGCTGTGTTGGTGCAGAAGTTACATATGAACTTATTTCTTCTTTTCTGAATCATGGCTCTGGCTACTCTTACTAGGTTAGACGCCTTTTGTGCTCTTCAAGGCCTGTGGCAATTCAAACATCTCTTAACCATAGTGTTTCTGATCAGGACCTCCAGCAGGTATGTGTTCCTGTAGTATTTGATTATTTGTGATTGCCACAGTTTTGTTTTTCATATGATTATTCAAGCACTTGAGATACTAAATGGTGGTATTCTTTGCATGTCTGATCCTGCAACCTTCCTTGCTTGGTTAAATTTCTTATATACACCCAGTTTAATGATCCCGATCTTGGTTGATGTGACATGCATGTATCTTAGAAATCAAATCTGCTGTTCTGCACTGCGATATTAACTTTAAGGGGAACTCTAGGTCATTTGGTGCAGTGCAACATGCCTGATTTATGTAAAAGATATCTCCCCATTATAAGATTTTCATAACCCATTTTTATGCAGACAAATTCATTTTTTTTGGCCGTCATTGATATTTTAGACATCCTACATTTGTTTGGGCTTTTCACACATGTATATGGTCACATAATCCAGTTGTTTGTTCCCTTGATTTCTTCATTTATTTCGTCATAATTTGTATTTCTTCTGAGCTTTCATGTTCAGTTGATTTTTTTATTATCATCATAAGTTAGGATTTATATATTAGGTAACACTGTTTGATTTAATTATTTAGGTAAGATAAAAATAAGTAATGTACTCTTAATTTTACTAACATCAGGGTTTATCTTTAACTATGAATGTTACGATAATTACTGCAGTCTTATTGTACTAAAGGAAAATGTTTATTTATTTATTTATTTTCTCCCTTTTGAATCTTTTTTATTAAAAGTGTAAATCTTGATTATTGGGAATTGGTGTTTGTATCTTAAGTAGTCATTTATATTTTATAATTGTTACAGCAACTAAATCAAATCCATACAGGAAAAGGGCTTGCTTGAGTTGACAGTTATCCCAGTTATAGGCTAACCTTTAATTCTTCCACATTTGTTATTTTTTTTTTTTCATTTAGTAATTTCTTTTTATCTCCTAGCAAATTCTAATCTTGAAAAAAGGCCAAGTTTGATTAAAATTATCTGCTATGCTTTGCTTCCTGTTTGTACTTTATATGCTCTCATATATTTCTCTAGTTGAATTGAATTGTGATACATTTTTTTCTTTTTAAAATCTGCTTTGGATACATATATTTTACTGTCATGAAGGCTCAGTTGTGGCACCTTGCACAAAGGACCACTTCACTTCCTCTTGGACGTGGGGCATTTACTCTCGCAACCATATATACACTCTTAACGGAGGTTCTCTTTATATTTAACCTTTTTTTTTTTCACTAATATGCCCCTTCACTGAGAAATTTTAAATTACTTCTGGAATTGTACTCTTTCTGATAAACTCTGTTACGATTTTTAGGCTTTTACTGTTCCAAAGCTTGTATTAGCAGGTCGCTTGCCAGCCCAACAGAATGCTACTGTAAGTAGATGTGATATGTTTGACAATATCTGCATTCCGTAATTCTTCTTTTGGTTTATAGAGCTATTTATTAGTTTTTTTGTATTTGTTGATATGCGTCATGTTTGTCTATTCACAGGTTAATCTCGATCCAAACATCAGGAACATAAAAGAACTCAGGTCATGGCCTGAATTTCATAATGCTGTTGCTGCTGGACTGAGACTAGCCCCTCTCCAGGTTTAACATTGATCCAAGTTACAGAGTTTAATCCTGTTTCTGTTAGGAAATTTCTATTTTTTTATAAGAAAAAAAATTATTATGAAAGGAAAGGAAGATAAGAAAGAGGATAGTTGAAGGTCTAAAATTATGCAAACGAAAATAAATATAAAAAAATATTAAGAAACATGCACCACAACTTGCAATCTTTTGATATCTATTAAGGACACTCTTAACTCCCTTAAAAAAGACTTAAATATTTTTTATATATTTGATTATGTAATTTGGCAATTGTTGGATATTGTTAGATATAATTATTACACAGTGGAATTCAACATAACTCAATTCTATAAAATCAGTTTATGAGATGTGATTTACATCCTATTTATAAACTATAATTTGATTATATCTCTAATTGATGTAGTATCTACAATACACCCTTCATCCTAAAATTTGAACATTTCAAAAGTGTGAGACTAAATATTTGGGAGTGGCTCGGGTTTGAGCTTAATTTAATTTTACAAAACTGACTTGTAAAATGAAGTTTGCATTCCATTTATATACTATAATTTGTTCCTATCTTTAGTTGACATGGGGTTTGCAACCATCATTAACTATTTTAATTAGGCAATTCTAGGATTACATAATTATTGTAATTGGGAAATTATTTTCTCGGTAACTATATCCACTGCATAGAATAATACACTCTGCTACTCCACAATATTTATTGACGCACAGATTCAGTCATGTCTCATGCTTTCTCTTCTCAATGTGGTCTCTCTAGACCCTTAACATAAGGCAGTTTTATTTTGTCTTTTGGGTGGACTGTTAGTTTTGATTGAGAAGTGTACCCATGACACCACATGAATTAAAGTGTGAATATCTTTCCCATACAAATTGATATAATTCCTAGTATTCACAGTTTGTTACTATTTGTATGGAAAAGATATTCATACTTCAATTAATGTGTGTGATTGGTAGTCATGATAATATGAAATCAAATACAACAAAAGGATAAAAAACTATTTTAAGTTTTTAGTGGGACATAATGGATTATGGAAACGATTTGGGAGGTCCATTATATGAATTACACGATGTCTTTCAATCCTGTTAAAAACAAAAGCTTCAAGAATATTATTACCATGGGATCTCTCTTCATGAATTTCCTCTAACCTCTTTTGCTCACTCTCTTCTCATTTTCATTGGATAAAAAACTATGCAATCTCAACATTTCTTCGCAATTCAGAGTTGAGCACGATAACTCCAGAAAGCAGGATGCATTGTTAAGCTAGAGTGTGGCATACAACATTCATGATGCTGAGGGCATGATCATTAAGTTTTTCTTTTCTCCTTTTTTTCTCTTACTAAAATTATGCATAGAAATTCTTTAAATATTAATTTATCATGGGTGTCCATGGGTACCAATGTTTTCTCCAAAATCTCTCTCCCTGCTGCTGTTTGCTACTCTTTTCTGCTAACATAATTTTGTGATCCCTGTTTGGCTGTGCTTGATGTTTGGGAATATGCACAAGTTATTTTTCTTCAATGATACTTAGCACCTTCATGGACTTTGTCAATCCCTTTATGAGTATAAATGCACCCTTCCGGTGTTGATTAGTCCATGATTGAATATACAAATAAATTAGTTTTGGGACCTATTTTAAAATTCACAATAGTCGAGGGACCTACTACACACCCAAAGGGAAGGGTAATTGGTCATTTTCGTAGTGTAGTGGATTGTGGATTAAAATTGTCACCTGGTTTTTGTGGGTAACAAATTGAGTTTTGTGATGAACCTTGGGCTTGTTTTCAGTTTAATACTTGGATTATTTAATAATTAAACAAAGTACTTCTTATTTTGGTGCTTTTTCTGTTCCTTTACTTTTAGCAAAACAAACAAGACAGTTAATGGAGTCTGTCAGATGTTAGAGATGTATGCCAAAAACATAAGAGGCACCTTTCTGTTTTAAAGCAATAATTCAGTCTGAACAGTGTTGTTACTGAACAAAGCATTGCATTTGAGTATTTGTCATTATAGCTTGCACATTTCTTAAAAATGCAAATAATTGCTCTTGCAGGGAAGAATGTCTAGAACATGGGTTTTGTATAACAGACCTGAGGAGCCAAATTCTGTTCATGCTGGACTTCTTCTTGCACTAGGATTGCATGGATTTCTGCGTGTATTAGCTGTTACTGACATCTACCAGTATTTTTCTCAGGTCTAATTCTCTAATGCTCCACTGGCATTTCATTTTATTCTAATGGTGTTTATTGTTTTTTACTACTTAGAAATAATTAATCATTAAATTTTTATTGAAAACAATATGTTCCGTAGCCTATATTATGTGTTGATGAAAGCTCCTAAAATTAGGGTATTTAGTGTTAGTTACCAAGCGATGTAGTCATGTAATATTGCATTGCTGCTGCCCCTTGCAACAAGAGCTGCATTGGAATGTGTGTTTTGTCTCTGCAGTGCTGTTTTTTCGTTTCTTTTCTTTTTTTGTTTTGGGGGGGGGGGGAGCGGGGTCTATTTACACGGTAAGGTGTATGTAGACAGTTGAGGTTGCTGAAGACTGTTGATTTTAGATTTCTCAGAGTTCTTTTTAAACTGAAATATTCTTATGAGAGTGATTGGAGTTAGAATGATGTTCAATTAAAGAAAACATAAGTTGGAAATTGAATTTTCTAGTTGTGAAGTCAATAAAATATTTGACTATGAGGGCCTTATGGTCACTACACAATGGTTGATGTGATATAATTCTTTTTAATTTCAATTAACATGGGGACAATTTGCACCCAAGCTTCCTTTTATGCTAAATTATTTTCTTTCAGCTTTTCCATTTTGTATGACATCAAATGATTTTTCCTTCATATGTTTAGGAGCATGAAAGTACCACTGTGGGATTAATGCTTGGCCTTGCAGCTTCTTATGGAGGAACCATGCATCCAGCTATATCGAAGGTATTATCAAGCTCAATTTTTCTGATAATATTGATGCAGATATCTTCTCTCATATACTAGATCATAGTTGTTGTGCACTAGAAAATTAATTTTACTAGCTTTGAGCTCTTCAAGTTATCTTATGGATTGCATTGTTCTTTCTTGATCATGGAGGAACTCATTTTAATGCAAAAACACAATTTGATATAATTGAACAAAATAAGAGGCATCTCAAGCTGGAGTATAATATAAAACTATTAGAAATGAGGAATGTCTAAACTAAACTGACTTGTAAGGTGAACTTTGCACATTAATTATATATTATAAATTGTTCATATCTCTAATTAATGTGGAATCTTCAACACCTTCCCTCACAACAAGGAATTGACATTTTGAGAGTGTGTTACTGAATATTTAAGGGTGGTCCAATAGCAACCTGATAACAGGTAGAGTGATGAGCCAACAAACCTTGCTAGGATAAACTTTGATATTATATTAGAAACGGAGAGGTGTCTAACTTAATTTTTCAAAAATCGGCTTGTAAGGTAAGATTTTCATATCAATTATATGTTATTAATTGATCATATCTTTAGTCGATATGAGATCTCCAACAAAAATACTCACTTTTGTTAAGGTTTCCATGAAAATTAAATCTTGCATTTGATATGCCTAGTTCAATTGTTTTCCATGAGCATGGGGAAATGGTAGTATTATGATTTGAGTGTGGTAAAATAATATAATATGCCTTCTTAATTGTATGTTTTTACTTAGAACTAATTTGCTGAGTGACTATCAAGTTTCCTTAAAATAAATTGAATTTAAGAATATAGTCCTGTTAATAATGACTTTAGGAGTGATGATTGGGTGTAGTTGGACTGGTTGGCTTCCTTTCTGATAGTTTTAGGGTAACAATTTGGATTAAATTCCCTTGCTCTGTGACAATCTATCCTCTTAATGTTAATATTTTTGCAATCATCATCCCTGTCTTAATAAATTTCTTTCTTTTATCCCATACAAGGAAACAAAATAATAGATTCTGTTTAATTTTGTGGGAAGTGAGTATTATACAAATCATTTGATTTGTAATTTAAATGTGAATCGATGACTCAAGTTATTTATCAATACAAACTAGAGAGTAAATCCGAGCATGTTGGGCAGGCATTGTCATCTGAATTTCCAGACCTGTGTGCATCATCTGACTTGTTTGCTGAACAAATACAGGTGGCATAATAACAACACCTCCTCATGCCTAGGAGTAGGCAGATAGAAAATATGTATGGACCAAACAATGATCTAGGATAAACTCTAATATCATTTTAGAATTTGGATTGAGGATCTAACCCAATTTATAAAACCAACTTCTAAGGTTAGGATTGCCTAAGCTTTATAGGAATTACATTGGTAATATCTATAGTTGATGTAAGATCTCAACATACCACTTCATGCCTAAGACTAGACATTTGGAGTGTGAACAAATGTTGGTGCAGTGATCCCAATAATGGAACTAGCGTATGCATTGATGTCATTTTAAGAAATTGGGCTTTGGGCTTGATTCAGTCCTGCGATACTAGTTTATAAGGTGATTTTTGTTTAAACCTTACAGGGAATACTACATTGCCTATCTGTGGTAAATCTTAGCTATCAACTTAAGCAATTCACATTTTGAATCATGATTCATGATGTGATAACCTTTGTTTTAGAATTAACATTAATCCATGAATATAGAGACAATTTGTTTTATTTGTTTGTGCTCTTTAATGCATGAAATCAACATTTTGTGAAGCATTGAAAGCATGTATACTACCCCCTTATCTTGTGAAGCATTGATACATCAATTTACTTCACGTATCCTATACTGATACTCTAGGATTAGGGCAGAGACAATGGGTGACTTAGGGGATTCCACGACTACTCCAAAAATTTTACTTTTCTTTAAACATTATATATAAAATTAATTTTTAGCCTCCCATTGAGAAGAAACATGATATATTTTGTATTGGTCACCCATTTACATAAAATCACAGTCTAGCATACCTGACCGCTAAATATTGATGAAGTATCCAAACTAATGAAGCACCAATTCTTTTATTTGTTTCATGTATTTAATACTGCTACATGTTGGCTGTATTTAAAACATGTTTGTGAAGTGTCCACACTTTTAAAACATTTATATCTAGTTATAAGAAACATATAATAACGAGGGAAATTGTTCTCTTTATGAATTGTTTTAAAAAAGTAACGAGATTGATAGTGTTATTCCTTTAAATAAATAATATAAAGTAACTTATGATGACAATGACTTATAATTAAGTATATTGAAAATTTCTAACAAGTGTTTTAGTTTGTATTTGAAAAATTGCATGATATATATTTGTTGTATTTTTTGAATTTTTATATATTGTTAAAAGACATATCTTGCACGCTTATATCCAGTTATTTTTTTTATAACTGTATCATTTTATTGTATCCATGCATCATATTATCTCCTCCCTTACGCCTACTTTGTTTGGAGAGCTGATAAAATTATCCTCTTGCAGACACTTTATTTTCACATTCCTGTACGACATCCATCTTCCTATCCAGAGTTAGAGGTTCCAACCTTGCTCCAGGTATCTTTCATGTTTATTTTATTTGTTCAATTTAGATTAGCCCTTTTCACCCCCTCCCTCCTTTGCTGGTGCTTTCTAACATCAAAAGAGGAATTGTAAACGCCCAAAGTTGTGCTGTTCGCTTGCTTCATTGTCTGTCCTGAAGAAGATCATTATTCTATTAATAAGATTCAATTCGTGTGCTATATTTCTATCACCACCCAATGATTATTTTCAAGTTGAAAGTTTGTTATATTGTTTCAGTCGGCTGCTTTAATGTCTCTGGGAATTTTATATGAAGGTTCAGCTCACCCACAAACAATGCAGGTTTTATTGGTAATATATTTCCCCGCTTCATCATCTGTTTATTCAATGCTTGAACATGTGCCTGAGTTATTCTATTCTTGCATGCCATCAAGATAAAGTGAACATGAAGGTAGATTATTGTTGTACTACTATTTATTTGCTGAATTCTACCATTTAGCCAGTGGGTATGATTTATGTTATTGTTGTGTCTTTCCCCTTCCATTAAATGCAATTAGCTTTGAGTTTTGATATATTTGTAATCCATTTTAATTTGTGCACTTGTGTGTTTAGGAATTGATTTACCAAAGTTTTTTGCTTGCATAATCTGTCTGGTATGTATATATTCATTCTATGGTCCATGTCCAGACTCAATCAATAGTGAGCATGAGTTTCTTTCAATATTCATTTTTTTTGCACATGCCTTTTCAATAGTGAGCATAAGTTTCTTTCAATATTCATTTTTTTTGCACATGCCTTTTCAATAGTGAACATAAGTTTCTTATCTATTAAATTGTCTGTCACCTATATTCTTCTTTTAACATCTCTTCCTCTACATCAATATGTAATTTTTCAGGGTGAAATTGGGCGTCGAAGTGGAGGTGATAATGTTCTTGAGCGAGAGGGTCATGCTGTTTCTGCAGGATTTGCTTTAGGTCTTGTTGCACTGGGTATGAAAGCTTAAATAAGTTGCAGGTTTTAGATTTTAGTTTTCAGTTTTCTGGGCTTTATCTAACTAGAATATGTTGCTTGAAGGACGGGGAGAAGATGCACTTGGTTTCATTGACACGTTTGTGAATCGCCTGTTTCTCTATATTGGTGACAAAGTACACAATGTAATGGAATTCACAAATTCTACTATAACTTTTTCCTTCCTTGTAAAGAACCTCAGTCTTTTCATTCCTAATACTAGTTAATGAGTCTTAGTTGTGAATGTTTGCAAGAGACCATGCGGTTGTGATCCTGTCTTCTGGCAGTTTCAGACTACTTATAATCTTTATAATTCTATATAATGTTAAAGTACTTCTGCAACAGGAGAGATCTCATTTTTCAACAGTCTCAATGGACGAATGTCGCAGTTCTGCACAGGTTCAAAGAATTCAGTTCTTAATTTCTTTACTGCAATGAAATAAAAGAAACAAAATTGTATGAAGTATTATAGTCGGGAAATGCCTGCATAATTAATTTGTATTTGTTGTAGATGATGGATGGGACAACAGTCAATATTGATGTCACTGCACCTGGAGCCATCATTGCCGTTGCTTTGATGTTTATGAAGGTGCTTCTGATGAACTCACTCTACAATAAGCAATAGATATGGCAACAAGAAGTCTGTTTATCTGCTGCAATTTAAGTTCTTTTCTAACATTTCTAACTTTGGTCTGTGTCTTTTTGACAGACAGAATCTGAGGCTATTGTGTCTAGGCTTTCAATTCCCAATACATTTTTTGATTTGCAGTATGTGAGGCCTGACTTTATAATGCTCAGAGTCATTGCTCGAAATTTAATAATGTGGAGCAGGTTTGTTCTGGTTTCTTCAGTTTATTGCAACAATTCTACGTGGACCTGTTAGTAGTCACCCTTCTGATCCATGTTTGCTGCAATTTTTTTCTAGGGTTCATCCCTCAAAAGATTGGGTTTGGTCTCAAATTCCTGAGATCGTTAGATGTGCTGTAGAAGGGATTGGAGGTGATGACAATGAGATTGACGATATGGATGCTGAGGCTTTTATACAGGCCTATGTTAATATAATAGCTGGAGCTTGTATATCACTTGGTAAGTTGTTCTTTAGTCTTCGCATTCATTTTATGATAAATTTAAGAGAGTTCTTGTTTGTTGATATTATCCAAATTCTTACATAAAAAATTTAATCATACCATTGTACGTAATTATATAAATCTTTATTGCTGCTATTGTCCTCGATGATATTTTCTTAAATAAAGTTCCATCTATCTTTTTTACCACTTAGTGGTTGTGTACTGTTTGGTCTTTGTCTTGAAAGATATTCTTAACCATGTTAGGACTGGTGTTTGCTGGCACAAGAAATGAAAATGCACAGGAATTACTTTATGAATTTGCTATTTACTTTCTTAATGAGGTCAGTACAGACTTACACTGCCTAACTCTCCAATGCATGTCAAGTGGTTGGTTCTAAATGTTTTATTTTTATCTCGCAGATCAAGCCTGTTTCTCCTACAAGTGAAAAGGTTTTCCCAAGGGGACTGTCTCACCACATCGACAGGGGCACTTTGGAAACATGCCTTCACCTTATTGTTCTTTCTCTATCTGTGGTACCTGCTTCCTCCTTTTGTCCACTGTCGATTAATTATGTAGTAAGATTATGTCTAAAATTCTCTGGTTAAACTTCTGTATACCAGGTGATGGCCGGGTCTGGACATTTACAGACCTTTCGGTTTTTGAGATTTCTAAGAAGCAGAAATTGTGCTGATGGGCAGTCAAGTTATGGTATTCAGATGGCAGTAAGTTCTGCAAGTTGCCTTTTTTTGTTTTGTATGTTTTAATTTTTCAAAAATAAAATCTGCATGTACATGAGAAGCTGGCTTTGGAACTTGAATTTTAAAGGGGTTGGAGATTTATACGCCTTACCTTAGGTGGCTGGAGGTGGTTTGGTACCATTATGCTTAACAGCTAATGATCTCTCTATATATATACAAATATGTCTTTATATTACACATAGCAGTTGGGGTTTCGATCAAAGAATCGTGAAAATTCTCTTCAATCATTTGGTGTATGATGGACCGAAAAGTCTATGCTTATTTAATCATCTATATTAGGTTTCTTCTGCTTGTGAAGACAAAGGGATTTTGAAGATTCAGATAGCTTTTGTTATGATAGTAATATTAAAATATCTCTTTGAAATTCATATATTCTTGTACTTCATTTGGCAAATTTCTTTTATTTTTTTTTTCCAACATGAGTTTGGTAATTAGCTTTATATAGTCTCCCTTCTGATTTTTTTTTCCTACCAACCTGCTTAGGTAAGCTTAGCTACTGGTTTCTTGTTTCTTGGTGGTGGAATGAGAACATTTTCGACAACCAACCATTCCATTGCTGCTTTGCTAATTACTCTATATCCACGCTTGCCAACTGGTCCCAACGATAACAGATGCCACCTTCAGGTATATTAGATTGATGGAATCACTGTACCTTGTGATAAAAGCTTAATTTTTCATTAGTTTATAATGGGAAATTATGTTCTGAAAAATGTTTCTGCCAGGCATTTCGCCATCTATATGTACTTGCAACAGAGGCACGATGGATTCAAACCGTGGATGTCGACACAGGTCTGCCTGTTTATGCTCCTCTTGAGGTCACAGTCAGAGAAACTGAGCATTATGCTGAATCCAGCTTTTGTGAGGTCACACCTTGCCTTCTGCCAGAACGATCAATTGTAAGTCATTGTTCTGACTGAGTTAACTTTTATTTGTTAGCTTTGGACTTGTATATTTCCTATTGTTGAAGCAAAGAAAAAATCTGTAGCCTTTTTAGGACTAATTTGTATTGGCATTGATGGTAACAGTTGAAAAGAATCCGTGTTTGTGGGCCTCGCTACTGGCCTCAAGTAATAGAATTTACCCCTGAAGGTAAACAAACTATTATGCTTTTTATATGATCTTATACTGATTGAGGTTTTTAGAATTTGTTTACTTCTTAAATGAGGAACCCCAATAATGCATTGAATAACAGATAAACCTTGGTGGAATTTTGGAGACAAGAATAATCCATTTAATTCTGGTATTCTCTTTATCAAAAGAAAGGTTGGAGCTTGTTCATATGTTGATGATCCCATTGGATGCCAGTCACTGCTGTCGCGGGCAATGCACAAGGTTGAAATTACATGGTGTACGATATTGCTAGGCATGTTTATGCATTATACAAGTGTTATATGCCCATATTATTTTTTTGCCTGATCTAGGTGTTTGGCCTGACAAGTTTGAAAGCATCTGATACAATTACGGACATTCGAAGTGGATCTGGTTCTGGTTCTATCACAGTTGATCAGTTGGTCGGTACCTTCTCATCTGATCCTAGTTTGATTGCCTTTGCACAACTCTGCTGTGACCCCTCTTGGTATAATAGGTAAGCTCATAATGTTCAGTTGGGTTATTTTTTTATGAATATTTCATTCTACTTTTTTTATTTATGTAATATTTCTTAAATTTTTTTGCTGAATAACTGGTTAGATGCTCTTGGAAATGAGGGGATTCCTTACAAAACCCCCAAAATCCCAAAAATAGCACATTACCTCATGATTTTTCCTTTCTTACCAGTTACTAGTCACAAATACCACCGAAAAGCAATATGCAAAATCTGATCCAACAAACTAGGACAACCCCAATGCTCAATTGAAAGGCCCAAAAGTTTATTTCGTAGGAATGATGGAGAAATAAGTGAAGCAGGGTTTCAGAATTGGATCTACCCAACACATTAGGAGAGAGAGCTGTTTTAGACCATCTAACCTATTGCTTAAAGTTTTCAAAGTGAAGTTTTAGATCTTAGAAGGAATTTTAGATTTACAGATTGCCAAGGCGATGTAGAATCAATGTTCCAGATTCTCAAAACAAGATTAGAGCCAAAGGGAGCAATAGCTTTTTTGTCATATTAATTTCTGAATGAAATGGAAATTTCAAGACCCTATGGAATCAACAACAATCACCAAACCTTTTCCTTGTAGGTGGGACCAGTTACATTAATCAAAGGATGCCATAATGTTGTATTATAAATCATGTCTAATTGTCCATGTACAAAGTAATAGTTTCTAAATCCTCCTTAATCAATAGAAAAATGTCCTTTGTATCTAAATTTCCAAATTTAGCCTTTAGCCCTCCAAATTTTTGTCCTATTTTCATTCCTCTAATTTGGAAATACTCCACTTTTTATCCCTAAAGTGTATTTTCTAGCAGTTTATAACTGTCTATAAATGTAAGTGTAACCACTTTTGAGGACAAAAAATGGAGTATTTCCCAATTAGAAGGATAGAAATAGTACAAAAAAAATTAGAGGACTAAACTGAATTTAAAAATTATTAAAACTGAATACAAAAAAACAGCCCATAACACATGAAAAATCCCAAGGCAAGAAATCAAATGATTCTCCAAATTCTGTTATTGCTGATAATTTGCAACATTCTATAGACATCTAGAATTTTGTTGTACCCTGCTGCTGTGCAAATAACATTTGCTATTATTATGCTGACTTATTAGAAAGTGGATGAGTCTCATTCAACTCTACAAAATCAGTGTGTATGGTAAGATTTGCATCCTAAGATTTTCATTCTATTTATATACTACAATTTAGCTATGCCTGTAATCGATATAAAATTTTCAACACACCCTCTCACATCAAATATATAGATGGTCCTAAAATAACCCAATGATTTAATAATCTCACGCTCAAAACGTCTAGTCCTCAGTGTGAGAGAGAATGTTGGACATCCTACATCTAGTAAAGATATGATCAAATTATAGTACAAAAGTGGGTGCAATCCTCATTTTATAAGTCAATTTTGTAAGGTTGATTTAGACGCACTTTCTAAGACCATTTAACTAAATGAATTATAGCATCCCTAACACTTGGCTAAATAAAATTTTTCATAATCCTCTATTTGATGGGCTACACCACTGGGAATATAGAGGCATAATTAATATTCAAACTGACTTCCAAGATAATGGCACAAACTTTATTGGTCAGATCGGGTCATCTTACCATTTATTGTGATTGATTGGGATGTACAGGAGCCTCATTTGTTATCTATAGTTCACACAGATACAACACATTGCATGCTGAAAGTAATCCGGAGTGCGAGGCCACTTTCAAAATGGTTGTTTATTGGTTCCTAAAAATTGAAGATCATAGATGATGAGTAAAAGACGATTTAAATATAACTAATTATGCAGACTTATTGCAAACGGTATGACATTCTTCTCTTTGTAAAGATGGTACAATACCTTAGTAAATTGATGAAAATGCTTGCAGATCTGATGTTGATTTCAAGGAATTTTGCTTGCAAGTATTATTTGAGTGTGTGAGCAAGGATAGACCAGCTCTTTTACAGGTAACATTAGAGGTTAATTTGTGTATGCTAAAGTAAAAAAAATTATGATGGCCCAATTTAAAACCTTCTATGCTGGTTGCATTTCCATGCTAATTATACATGCCACATGTCAAGTAAATTGCTTACTATAAGTAAATGTACTAAATAATTTCTTCTGTTCCATGTTGCTAATCATATTGGGCTAAATTACTATAATTATGAAATGGCATGGAATTTTATGACAATGTCTACATGATATTAAACATTTGATGTTCGTAGTATCTTATGAAAGCCATGATTCTTACAATGTGCATGTAAATAAATAAAGTTTGGTCTAATGTCTATGTTTGCTGTTAACCATCAGGTAATGAGATTTTGCACATTTTAAAATTTGAATATTCTGATATTTTGCTTTATTTATGGTTCTACTATGCAGGTATATTTGTCATTGTACGCAACTGTTGAATCGATGGCTGAACAAGTTACTAATGGTGCCATTGTTTTTGGTGACTCACTCTCTATATCTGGTTTCAAGGTAGTTCTATGCTTAGTCTTGATAATTGTACCTTTTTTTTCAAGTAATAATCTGTCCCTAAACCAGCTCTTTAGGAACACAGTTGTTTTCTTAGCAATAGTGATCTTTGTTAGGACTTAATCACAATAGGAGATCTTAACCCAAAATGCTAGTCGACCACATTAAGTAACTTGTCCTGCTCAATGTGAGACTCCTAACATTGTCAACCCCTTAAACGGTCGACGCTTTCACTCTATCAACACTAAGCTAGTAGTAGCCCTTTTCTCTTTAAAGGTTTCACTCAGTAATTGGTTTGCACCTTAGTCCAGTTTATAAGCTAGCAAAACCAACTCTCAACAAAAACACCCATTGTTAAGATCTAAGCACCAGAGGAGAGAGCCCAATCTAAAATACTAGTTCATTATGTGCGATTACCTCAAGACTTAACGTCAAGTAGTTTATTCTACTCAATGTGTGACTCCTAACAATCTCTGATTTAATACTGTGGATTTTTCCATCGATCTCTTGAATTGGCTTTTATGGTCAAGAAATAAGTGCTGATTAAAGCAGGACAAGCTGTTAGGCATATTTTATCATATAGGTTCCCTGACAAACACTTCAGATATCATATTCTTCACCATTAAACAACATTTATCATGTTCCCCTGGGGCTACGCCAATTTAGATTATATTCATTCTTTTCAGATCTAATTGTGATTTGTTCTTCAAATCAAATAAATCTCAATTCTTAACTCTTTTAAGTTTCTTCATGAGGACGAGTCTTGATGCAGTGGTAAGATTGTTTGCATGTGATTATGGTGTATCAGTCATGGTTGGTCATACTAAAATCTGTCTCCTGTCTACTAAGTAGGTAGCATACATTTGACCCAATCCAGGCCCTCGTAATGAGCGGAGGCCTCTACTGCCCTAGGCCACTGGCCACCTCCTTATAAGCATGTGTGTGACTCGATACTAGTTGTGTCTGCTTGCAGCTTGCACTAATATATATCGAGGCATTGATGACTGGAAAGTTATCTGCTCCAAAAGGAGGAATTGTTCAACCAACATTTGTTGGTTCGCTTAGGAAGCAGGTGGAAGAGATCCTAAATTGTTCTCAGGGATTGAAGGATGATTTCCATAACTACTTGAAATTGGGAAAATGGCCTGACGGAGAAGCCCAAGATAAACGTTCAATACTTCTTTCTTGGTTCCTTCAATGGTTTGATGTACCAGCTTCATCTGTAATTAGGACAGCTGTTGAAAGAGTCAAACCTAAGCTTATGTCGTCATCTGCAGTTCCCTTGTTGCGTCTATTTTTTCCAAGAATTCATATTCATGTAATCAGTGAGATAGATAGATGTTTTTCATGATTGTGTATCAGCTGTAATATTTATTATTATTATTATTATTATCTCAACTGTAATCGTTTGATTTACAAATATTAATGTACAGTAGTCTTACAGTGCAGGGTGATGCAATTACAATTTAATTGTTGAATATATATATTTCTTTCCTTCTTAGGTATAGAGTCTTAAATTAAGGGTGTATATTTGGTGTAGCTGAAATAAAACTGCAGATAGTCGAAATCCGGTATTATCCAGGGAAAAAGGGTACGCATGGGTATATATGCATGCATATTTGATCTCTTGTTAACTAGTTTCTGTAGCAATGCAAGCGCCCGCGGAACTGCTTTGAGCTAGTACAAGCAAGTCCTGCCTGATGATACAACAGTTGCATCCAGGTCTAGCTAGTACAAACAGGTCATGTTTTTCATAGGTTTCTAACGTCTCTACAAACTTTTGGTATAGCTGCATTTTCAAATATTGAATTTTTTTTCATGAAAAAAAAAACTAGTTTCGTTTAAAAGGCATAAAAAGAAAATTCAATGTAATTATTTAAGCTTTTTTTTTTAATCAGAATATGTTCAAAGCATTAGATTGTTTTCAAAAATTACCAATAGCTATTGATAAAGAACATGAAATAATAATTAACTTTTAAAACCAAAGTACTTATTATAACTAAAATCGAATTAAAATGTTTAATACCAAATTCATTAAGTTCATGGAGAGATACTTCAGAATGTGGCAAATTACTTTTTAGTTTTTAGTTAGGATAGATATCTAATCTTATTATTTGAACGTCTCTTGCATAATATGTCGTAAGTAATTACATTTGTGTGATTATAGATTTTTTTTTTCTTGACAGTTATAAACAAACTGGTCGTGAATTTGGTGTTAGGCGGGTTTTAATTTGGTTTAATTTTTTAAGGAGCCTTCCCTTGGCTGGGTCATTTGAGTCAAAATTAGATGCAATTTCTGCCGTATAAAGTTTATTATATTATGGAAGTTATCTTATTTTCCACATGTAAAGTTGTAATATCTTAATATACAATTATTTAGAAATTAGTAAAATAACTATTTAGAAACTGAATGTTGAAGCAATTATTAGAAAAGAAACTAAACAAAACCTTCGAGCTTTATTTTCTCTTCATTCAAGGAACAAGGGTACATTGTACATTTAAGTATCTTGCTGTGTTTCTGTACTTGGCTAAATTGGCTTAAGAAAGAAACACGAGGAAAAAAAAAAGGAGGTAAAAATGCCAATTCCTAATAAGGAAAAAAAAAGTCGATTTAAAGTGACTAAAAATTACAAAAAAACTGAAACAAATGCCGAGGCATTCAAGGGAAAAAGGAGAAATAATAACAATTAAGTAAAGAGTGAAAAGGAAATCTGCAGATATCTATAGGTTGTTTGATGTAGGTCAAGATTGAGAGATGATCCGTGTGTAGAGGAACTCATTCCAAGTGTCAGGTAATCCCGGTAAACACCAATGGATGCAATCTGCATAATTAGTAGGATCAGCTTGCTGCTCCGGAGTTAGCATTTTGCCTTGGCGTATGGTGTAAACAGAAGTATGTGCATCTTTTCTCAACTCTGATAAAGTAGTGATGTTAATGAAGTACACTGGCACCTTCATTGATTCGGTCACATTGTTGGCAATTGCAAACAGTCGACGATCTGTGCCCACATCCAATGGAGTTGACAAGTTGACGACAGGAGTGGTTTCTTTAGCACATTTTATTCCATCTGGGTTGTTCCAATCCTTAGGCCTGCATAATCACATAGTTAAATGTAAACAATCAATCCAAAGTCTGTTAAAAAAATGTATATCAGTTTGTCAGGTGCACTTGATAACTATAAACTGTCAAAAAGAAAAAATGTGGTAGCGAGTCACCAACACTAAACTATCAAAAGTGAAAACACCAATCATGTTGTTAAATAGTTTACGCCAGAGATTGTCCCCACCTAAAGGCATAACCAATATGTTGTTGTATACTTATAAATTTCACTGATTGACAGTTGATGGAAGCTTGCAAGTTGGTGTCAACAAGCCATTGGAATGGATTAGTACGTAAGATTTTCAAAACAGCAAAATGATGGTCCTGGTTACCAAGTATGAAGCCAAACATGTCAAAACTAAATTACTGGTGAATACGTGTATTATTATGTGGTGTTCATAGAAGTTTTTAACCTCATTCACCGGTGAAAAATGATGTTGAAAATAAGAAAAAAATAGTATATATGACAAAACAGATTAATCAGATAGAGATTATTTTGTCATACATGAACATATTTATAAACAATATTCGTCTTTATCATTGAAGATGTTAATGAAGTTTTTACATTATGACACAACACTTAGAGACAGACAGAGACTTAAATTTTATTGTACCTGCATGTCTTTATCTATAATGCTACATGACATACTGTGCCTATATCAATGTTTTATATTATGAAATCAATGTAATAAATTTTATTGATTCATCGAATTAAATTCAAATATGAAAAAGCACAATAAATTAAGATACAGTCATTAATTACTTGATATGTAGAGGGGACGTGCTGCTGAAGAAAACTTTGGTTCTATTTGGGTCAATGTTGTCATCTACCCATTTTGACCATGTCTTGAGGACTCTCCCATATGCTATTGGCCTAGGTACTTCATCGTACTCCGTGGACCCTTCATCAAATGACCCTCGTCTGTTGCATCACACCCCAAGAATACAAAAACTCACGAATTTTCTTGCAAATTACAAAACCTTAAAGAAAGGGGAAAAAAATAAAAATTAATGAGATAGAGTCATAGTGTGCTTACAAGACTTTCATAGTGAAAGTGTTCATCCACCAAATGTAGGTGTTGAAGATCAAGTAGTCCACATCCTTCCAATTCACTCCATGCTTTTCGATCGATTCAGGCATGATTATACGATTCAATATGCTGTGCATGTTTGGATCATCCGAATTTGACTCCACAAGGAATGGTGCCCAGTAGAATTCCACGGTGGTAACATGCTCTGGCTCCTACACAAACATAACCACCTATAGTACTACTCAACAAGAGTGCATTCTAAGCAATGTTAATTGAATATTCCCTAAACAATGTGTGCTTTCTTAACTACCAAGAGATCGCCACAATCTCCCAAAACAAGAACTTTCAGACAAGGGCCAAACAAGTAGGTAACTTGGTACTTAAAAAATTCATATTAGCCCATCAAATTCAGTGCCCCACCACCCTCATGCACAAAATGATTCTAGTTCCAGCTTTACACCGACTCTGGCACATAAGGGTCAAGACTAATTAATGAAGATAAAATAGCACTTTACCAGTCTAATACTATGGTATATACATGCATGTGGTTAATAATTATGGCAAATCAGTAAACAATATATTCAATTTTATACATGTAGACGAGTTTCTTAGTAAACTTTTTCTATAAACTAAATTATAAAAATTCTATATTTAACTTCTTTTATTTTTTGTATTAGTTTTAGTTTATGAAAAAGTCAAATTTTTTTCATTCAATAATTTATAATTCATAAAAAAAAATGTCTATACCGAATATAATTACTCCACCTATACTGGTACTTGAAGAAAAAAATAAAAAATATAAGAGAGGAGAAACCCAATTACAAACCTGAATTTTGAAGATAGCAAGAGAACCCGTCTTGTACCAAGTCTTGTTATGTGAAGGAACCGCAGAATTGACCATACAAACCATTGATTCCCACTGGTTCCTATTCAGTGAATCTCCAACAAACATAAGCCTCTTCCCTCTTATCTTCTCAAACAAAAGCTTCGGTTTGAACCTTAACAAGTTCATAAAAACGCAACCAATATAAGAACACTACCAAAAAAAAGACAAAAACTGATAAGATTGAGAAACAAAACAAGGACACCAAAAGAACAAAAAAAAAAAAGAAAAAAATTATACTTTGGCAGAGAACAATCTCTCGGCTTCCATTTCCAGTTCTGATACAAAGAATCTGGTCGTCCATTCTTCATGCATGTCACTTGCGAAGTGAGAAACTCACACTGATCTTCTTTGTATAAAGGGTGCGTCGTCTTATCCAAAACCCACTCCCCAGTGTACAAGTCACAACCTTCTGGAGGCAATTCAACTTTCTCTTCTTCTTCCTCTTCTTCTTCCACCTCTTCCTCTTCCTCCGCACGTGGCAGTTCAATCTTCTTCTCTTTCTCCAAAACAGTTTTCAAATCTGCACGCTCTTGTGCCTCATCGGAATCTTCATCCTCGCCACCACTCTTATCTAATTGCGCCCTTGAATTTGAAACAGTCTCTGCGACGGTGTCTTCCACATCCTTCTCAGCGTCCCTTTGAACAACAACACTCTCTTCCACGTCTTTTCTTGCACCCCCATGAATAGAATCAACCTCTTTCTGTACTCTTTCTTGTGTTTCATGCGCTTTGTGACTCGAGAATGGGAACTCAGCAATGGACTTAACGTCCTCGTTGTACATAAAAAGACCAAAGAGGAATATGGAGAACACCACCACGAAAATGGAGAGGTTGTTGTTCTTTCGACCCTTAATTGACCCCATTTCTGAAGTGAACAGAGGAGTTTTTCTTCGAAGAGGCTGCATGGGGGAGAGAGAAGAAAGAATTGATATCAGAAAAATAATAATCTCTGAGCAAAGAAGAAGCAAAGAGAGGTAGAAATATAGAGATGAGAGCACGGAGAGACATTGAAATTGTAGTATTAGGTTGGGTTTGTTCGTTTAATTAAGGTTTGGTGAAATGGTCTTGTCTTTCAAGAATACATCAGAGGTTATTGGTGGAGGGAAAGTTGTCTTTCTCAATTCTCAAGCTAGGATGTATCTATGTGTTTGATCCCTATTTCTTTTAGATCATTTTTTTGTTTTCTTGTAATATTTCAAATAATTGTCTTCATCTCTACGTTTTAAATTATTTCATGTTATCTTTCAAGTTTTAAAAATATTTTTTTACCTTAACAGGATTAATACAAAAATTAAATACAATTTTAATTATTTTTGCATCTAAATTTAATACTTAATAATAATTTTTTATTATTACAAAATTGATTAAAGAAATAAATTTATACTAATTTTTAGAGTCTAAAACTTAATTTGCTAATTTTGAAAATATAAAGATCGAAATTAATTTTTAAACAAAATATAAAAAACAAAAACATATATTTAATATGTAAAAATTATTGAATAAGTTTTTTGTTTTTTTTTTAATTTAATTTTTCCTATATTTTAAAAGATAATTAAGTAGTTTTTAAATAAAATAAAATAATCAAATTAAACGGAAAAACTATTATTAATATTAAATTTAAATATAAAAAGCAGTAACAAATAGTATATTATGTTAATTTAATCATAATTCTCTAAGGGTAAAATGGTTATCAAATGTAGTATTAAAGTAGAAAAGCATAAAGGAATAAAATAAAATATTTTTTAAAAATAAAAAAATTATATTAATCAATTTAAAAATATAAGACTAAATTAAAAAAAAAAGGTTATGGAGAAAATTTTTTAAAAAAATATCCATTTTTTAAAGTATTTGTATACATATATATATATAGGTATTTTGATTTGATTATTGGTGTAACTTTGGTTGAGCTTAAAGATGGATATGGTTGTTCTTGTGTTGGGGAGAATACGTGATATGAAAGGCAGCTTCAAAGTTGGTGGCAGTCTCAGTCAGTAGCAAGCGAGGCTTCGGTGGTCACAATGTTGCTGTCTTTCACTTTTCACTCTTCTCTTCCCTCGATAACCCCACTCCAACGGAAGAGTGTAAATTCAATATGAACAAACTATCATATTCTTCTTATTCTCTCTGTATTATTTATTCTCTGTGTATCGTTTAAACTTTTAAAAACTTTAAAGATTATTTTAAATAAATAATGAGTAAATATTTTATAGTTCATACTTAGTTAATGAACAAATAAATTAATAAACTATTAGGTCAATAAACTAACAAAATAATAATCCATTAAAATAATAAATTAATACACAAATAAACTCGTAAACTAATAAAATAATAAATTCATAATTAATATATTAATAAATTATTAGAGTGGTAAAGTAATAATTTAATAAAAAATTAAATAATAAAAAATTGTAAATTTAATAAAATAATAAACTAATCAAATAGAAATTTAATAAATTTGTAAACTGAAAATCAATAAAGTAATAACTTAATAAAATAATAATTAACAGACTAATAAATTATTAAACTACTAAATTGATATATTAATAAAATAAAATTTAAAATATTTACATGTTCTTTTCGCATGTAATTATTGCGTGTAAACATGTTTACATTGACTACAAATTAATTAACAACATTTTTATAATATATTTTTTAATAAACATTTTTATAAACGTAACACCATAATAATGACAAAAAAAATAATAAACAGATTACTACGCTTGAAAACATAATTTGGTTTATCAAAATTTTCAAATGTTATTTAAAAAAAAAAACATATAAGGTAAAAATTATTTCGCAACTAAAGTTTGGAGATAAAAACATCAAGTTCTATCTAATAAGATCGTACATGCTTACTTTTATAAAAGAAATATTATTTACAAAATTATAACTCCTATCAAAACAAAAATTTAATATTAGATATTAATGATAGTTATCAACGGATTAATTTTTGTGGTATCACACGTTTAGTGCATTTGGGGAGTAATATTAATATATAACCTTAATATACTTTTATATAAAATTTTTGGACATATAATTTTTATTCATTATAAACTTTATAATTTATTAAATAATAAATACATGTTATTTTATCCAAAATTATATTCATTAAAAGAGGATAAATTTTTACTGAGATAAATTTTTTTATAATATTCTTTTAATAATTATGGACAATCTCTATCATTTTATCATATTATTTGATAAAATTATTTATTTGTGTAAGATGATAAAATGATAAAAATTTTCCATAATTATTAAAAAAATATTATACAAAACTTTTATTTTATTTTAGTAAAAATTTCTCCTCGAATATAATTTATCTCATAAAACATTTTACAACTTCTTTTAAATAAAAAAATATATTAAGGGACCATTGAAAAAAATAAGATCCAAATCTAGAAATGTTATAAGAATAAAATAAGTTAAATTAAAAAAATATAATAATATAATTATAATCATTTTTTTAATATTATTAGAGGCTTCATTTAAACAATTTTATTTTTAAAATACGTTATACATAAATTATTCTTTCCCTTTACTCTAAACGATATGGTATTTGGTAGTGTATAAATATTTAAAGATTTTCCTTTACATAATTAAAATATAATAAATGAATATTCTTAGGATTAAAAGATTTTTTTTTAAGTGTACAGCCATCTAGATTTTTGAACTTTCTATTACTTACCTCAGCTAATCTTATGACAATTTCTTAAAGATTGACCCAATCGTTGCCTCCAATTTTCTCATGCAAGAATATGTAGACAAGTAAAATATATTAATATTTTTAAGACAAAATTGTCTCTATCTTCAATTAAAACTTCAATTAGTTCTTAATAAATATTTTTTATATTAATTTGTTATTCTTGTTTTCAATTCCGTGTCAAAGTTATTCTTTCGTTAACTTCCATTATAACGGTGGGAGAATTTTGTCAAAAACTGTCACGAATGACTAGTTCAAGCTTTGATTTTTTTAATTTCTTGGACAATTCAATGCTCAAATCCATAAAAAAACTATTTCAAACGGTCAAACCTATGATTTTCTCATAATAAGGAGAAATATGTGTCTCTATATTTTTTAAACCAAACATATAAAATAAAAGAAAGAGGGAAAAATTGAATGAAAAATGAAAATATATAGTTAGAGTTAGTAAAAGAAAATTAAAACTACATACAACTTTTTATCGCCCATATTATTATTATTACTTATAGATTATTAGTAAATGATATTTTATTCTGAAAAGGAAAAACATTTTTTTTGTTATTAGTATGACAAATAGTTTCTATTATAATAATAAAAAAATCTTCCTATAAAGACGGCCTAAAAAATACATATTAAAAATATAATAAACTATTTTTTAATTAAAATTACAATATTAACATATTCGTAATTTTAAACATTATTATACCTTCTTACAAAAACTTGTTATTTATTTATTTTTATTTGGTACTCGTTTATGTTAAAACAATAGTTATTTATTATTCCTATTACATATTTTATGCAAAATAAGCATTGAAAAACAGAATGACAAAAGTTGTTTATATTAGCAATTAGTGTATACCTTTAATATCAATCTTTATGAAGGGAACAATCAAAGCAAAAGTTTAATTAATAATAAAAATATTTTAAAACTAAAGTTTTGTCCTAACACAAAAGTTGTTCTGTACAACCTACACTGTTGAAGTGAAAACTATGTTCTTTGGGGAAAAGGAATGGAATAAGCAATGTTATTTTGATGGGTTTGATCTATATTAAGGTTGTAAAATTAATATTAAGACGTAATTAGAGTGGAGAGTTCGTTCTGACATTTAATTATTTGTCATCTCCTATTTTGTGCTAATTTGATTGTAAGACGTAATTACAGTGGAGTGTGGATTTTCTCCTTTGAATAGGTTTGGTGATGATTAAGTTTGGGAAGCTTTGCGTTGAAGAGAAACATATATATAAACTAGAAGCAGTTTGAAAGACAAACTTCTGAAAGCATCAAAGCCAAACATCTGATTAACTTTGGGATGTATGTGTACATCATATTAGCTAAACGGCAACATCACTCTGTCAAAGCAAACTAAAAAGTTTAACGACCCCTGCATAAAAATATGTGCAACATCATCACCTAATTCTAACTAACATGGCAAAATAAATAATGTAAGGGAAAACAAATTCAATGTGGTCCAAGTCCAAGGATGTGTCATGTTTCATGCTCACCATTTTTGTGTTTTAGTTTTTCATATCTTTCTCTTACTCAGCAAGGCCCTGCCAACAATTAGAATGGGCTTTTTGTTTTTCCACGTTGCCATCTTCATTTTTGGGATCAGCTTCTTCCCCCACCATGCTAAATGGACTTTTCTTCCTGCACCTTCTCGTTTTCTTGTTATAAACACTCTTCCTTTAATTTTAACTTTTGACACTTATCCATTCAACCACACCAAATAACCATTAATTTGCAATGAAAAGCCTTGAACAAAAGCAATGAAAATAAGGAGAGCGAAAGAGAATGAATATATTATCTATTAGTAATTTATTATTATAATCCTGATTTTGATTTTAACGATCAAACATAAATGTAATCTCATACTGATAAATATGGTGTAAATTGAATATGAAAGCGTACTTGAATTAGTCATAATAATGATGTCTTTGTAGAGTACTAGATTGATCTTCTGTCTTCCACCTGAAGAGCACATGTATTTCCCTTTTGATTTTCTCTCTTGATGGGGATAGAACGAAAGGAACGAGAGTGAAACTTACGTTTTGTCAACGTGTTCCCAGAAGGGGACCATGACCCCTTAAAATAACCAGAATTAAGTTAATTACTTAATATGTGTCATGTATATATATATATATATATATATATATATATATATATATATATATATGATACATAATTTAAATGTGTTAGGGCCATTA